AAGTAACAGAAGTGTGGGCAGCAGCTGTCCCTAGCAGAGGGTTAGTTGAGGGCTGCACAAACAGGTCAGCAGAGGGAGTCTTGACGTTTGGAAGATGGGCCAGCAGGACAGAGCACTGAGGGCAGAGGTGGTCAAAAGCTTCGCTGCTTCACAAAGGGAAGCATAGTTTCTGCACTGTTAATTTCAGTGATTTTCTGGGGATATATATCTCTGGCTTTTGGCTACTTTGAAGTGCAGCAATTTTCTTACTGAACTTCGCCATTGCACACAATAAAGGTTTAGTTTGTATTCTCTGTACACTGATGGACATAAGAAGCAGGCTGTGCATTGTATTTCCATCATTTGCTTCCGAAAAAACAAAGTGATACTGAAGGAGAATGCAACTTAAAGAAACACAAGTTAATAAACTAAAGTTACATAAAACTAGTACCATGTGATATCCACTTACAAATTCCAACCACTTGGCGTATTGTCTCCATTTTGAGAACTGATTTCAACTATAGACATAATATTAGGGGATAAATATTTTGGGATGACTTAAAAGTACTTAGATATAACATTTGTGGACCTATCTCTTATTTTTTTATGGATTATTAAAAATGCAAACTATACTGTAATATAGACCAATCATGTGCATTTTTTGTGTGTAGGACTCCATTAGAGGACACACTGGTTAAAAATTAAACATAAAAGGTAAATAAAATACATTTTCTGTTCATATATTGAAGTTGTTTTAAGAAATAATACAATCCTCTTTTTTGGACTTTACAGAAATTACATGCATGTAATCAAAATGAAGACCACACCCCATCCCAAGACTACTTCCTCACCTATCACTATGAAGGCAGGGGGTCTCCAGCAGGTTCTGTAGGCTGCTGCAGTGAAAAGCAGGAAGAGGAGGGACTCGACTTTTTAAACAACTTGGAACCCAAATTTCTCACATTGGCAGAAACTTGCACAAAGAGATAACAGCAATGGGTTACAATCAGACATGACCTTAGCAGTTATTCCTGAAGTTTGACACAATGACACTGTACAACTGAGTCACCACTTACACAAAATGGTCTTGAGTTATGTTGGCTTGTGATACTCTGACTTTAGTCTAGTGTGAAATCGACACATATTCAGGAGAAACCACTTATGGAATTCTGATCTTTTTCAGGCTGATCATGTGCTGTGTGTATTGTTCCTGCAATGCTGGGCAGGGGCAGTGGGCTGCAGTTCCCAGTCTGTCACAGGGTCATGGCCCTCCAGTGTGCCCTGCATGTATCTCCACCAAGTGTTCCTATAACACAACCATATCATGAGTCAAGGAGTGTATGCACAAATTAATGAATCTTCTGCATTTTGCAGTCTTCCCCCTACTGGTTTGTGTTGTTAAAGTGATTTGCTGCTAACCATTTTTCCAAAATTACATGTATTAAAATAGAAAGCCAGCAGGGCTGCTTACGCTGTAGTCCTGGAGTTAGCTAAGGTCTGTAAAGGTCCCAACCTGCCCTGCAGATATTTTCCTAATAAATGAATTGGGTAAAATATTAATCTAAAATCAGCTAAGTTGTACCAATATCAGCTCACCACACACTCTTAGGGATGGTTTAAGAAACAAACAAGACATTAAGTAACACTATATGAAGAAAGCTTCAGGACAGAAATAATACTAAATTACATTAAAATTTTTGTAACACTGAAGATCTAGGACCTGCCTCTCTCCAGTTTCACTGTCAAATACTTTATTGGACTTTGAAAACAAAATTTAGCAAGCCAGCCTATTGTGTGACAATTTTGATATTTCAGCACAGGCTGAAGCCAGTGTGTATTGCTACAAAATTAGGTACCAGTGCATCGTTTATAACACATTGTAAACAAAGAGGGAAATGACAATGATCGAAATTAAGGCTGGGTGTGACTTACCTTGTAACAGGAAATCAGGGTTTTAAAGGGGCAGTCTTCTTGCCTGGTTACTGTGCGTGTGTGATACCTGAATGTGTCACCTCATGCCTGCTTCTGTAATTTGTTTAAATTTAGAAATATATATTCTAGTTTTAGTAGGAAAGAAAGAGACAGGCACATGGAAGAATGGATTCACTTCACTGGATATGTAAAGATTTGTACATCCAAATATTAGAAGCCAACTACAGGATCCATCCTTTTATCCTTTACATTGCTGAGACCCTCAGCTTTCTCACGGGGAGTTGACAGAAATGACATGGTTTTCTTGGGATCTTTGCTGACATTACATGCCCCATCATCCTTTTCTTTTTTTTTTTTTTCTTCTACTTCCCCCCTCTCTTCCTCCTTTTCTTCCTTTTTTTTGGGGGGGGGGGGGGCGTTCTCTCTCCCCCCCCCTTGT